GTTTATCTGTATTATATCTGTTTTTTATTTGTTGAACATCAATTAAATTGTTACCCTTAAATTGTTTTGGACATTTTTTGTATTTGCTAGTTGGGGGAACAGACAGTCTCTATAGTATGATATCTAGGTGAAAGAGTCTCTATGTGCTGAGAATTAACTGACTTCTGTGATATGAGGCGGCAAGCAGACGGTCGGTTTAGCCAGTCTGCTTCCTGACCTGGGCCCCAGTTAGTCAAGTACAAACTGTAAGACTATGTGCCATATTTCTAGAGAGAAGAGCGGCACCACCCCAGGAATCTAAATGTTGCTCCCTGGAATCTGCTTACACCTAGGCTTGGGCAATAAAACGGTATTGATATTTATCGACGGTACACCTTCTTCGATATCGATAGAAAAAATGTTCTGCGGGCACCACTTAGACATCCAGCCATTGAGTGACAACAATCTGCTATGTATCTTATCACCATGGTAAGCAGGGAGGGGGCCAGAGCAGATTACAGTGTCTGACATCTTACTTGCAAGTTCACACACCTCTTTAACGTTAGTTTTAGGGATCTCCGACTGGCGAAGTCAGACATCATTAGTGCCGACGTGAATAACAATCTTACTGAAGTTACGTTTAGCATTAGCCAGCACTTTTAAATGAGCCCAGATTTCAGGCGCTCTGGCTCATTGGACTATGGTGGCTGGTGTCTCTATTTTCAGGTTCCATACAATAGAATCGCCAATAACTAGGGCTCTTTCAACAGGTTTCTCAGTGGGTGCGTCACTGAGTGGGGAGAACCTGTTTAAAGTTTTGATCGGAACGGAAGAACGGTGTTTTGTCCCACGACTTTGCCGCCTCACAGTCACCCAGTCGCCCTATATATATATTCATAAAATACCTTTCACAAATGCAAAACACAGTTCACAGATGTACAACTGTGTACAAAAAGTTTGAATGTTTAAAGGGGTCATATGACGTTGCTAAAAAAGAACATTATTTTGTGTATTTGGTGTAATGAAATGTGTTTA